AGGCCAGAGCAGAGAGTGGGTTCAGAGTCCTGGGCATTGCTAGAAAATGGCTCAGGCCAAGTGGGGACTCAGGGACAGCTTTGTGGGTCGTGGGGTGGATCGACGCTCTTTGGTTTTGTCTTGTCTGACACCCTCTTTTTGTAAATGAGAAAAGTGAGGCTCAGAGAGGGGAAGTGACTTTCCCAAGGTCACACAGTGTTTAGGGTAGTCTGGATGAGAGTTCAGGTCTCTCCTCTCCCTGTCTGGGCAGACAGACCCCAGATATTCAGATGGGAAAGATTCTTGAGGCCACCTGGTCTCTACTCCCTTGTGCTGTAGATGGGGAAGCAGAGAAGGGGCCTGATCAAATAAGCCCAGCACATAGTGGCTGAACTCAGTGTGGGGACCGAGGTCTACAGGCTCCCAGCTGCGTAGAACTGGAGGTCACTGCTCCATCGATGCCCCCTCCCACCCACACACCAGCTCCTATCAGTGTGAGGACAGTGCCTCCTAGCCATAGCACATCCCCCAGCAAGGGGCAGCTGCATTCTACTAACCCAGGCCTGAGCCCCGCCACTGCCTGCCCTGTCCTGCCAGGGACACAAACTCATAAGGGCCTTGGGTGGGCCCTCATGAAATCCTCTCTGGTTGCAGTCTGGGTTGCAGGACACAGAGGCCTCCCCAGCATGACCAGCCACGTGCCAAAAGGTAACTAAGGGTAGAAATTCCAAGCACGCTCACTCAGCGGAAGCTGGAGGCCAGTGTGCTTGGAACTAGAGGTCTCGCAAGGAAAATCCTCAGGAGAAAACCTCAGAAGAAAGGAAATGATTTTACTTTATTTTGGAGAGAAGAAGGCAGAAGCATTTTTCTCTTTGTTTAGCATTCTCGGCTTGTCCTGCTACATTAAAGGCAATTTAATGTGATAATGTTAAAAAAAATGACCCTTCACCCAGCAAGTCAGAATGTTCGATAAAAAGGAGATCAACCATAACGCCTGAGATCAATCTTCTGAAGATGGAAATTTCCCTTTGTCTATTCCTGCATTGGAAATTGATTAACTTTTTATAGGATGGACAAGTTTTTCCCTGATGCCTTTGATTCAGTGTCAAGAAAAGGCCCACTTTAGCTAGGCTCTGCTTGGCAGATTTATGAAATGGACTTTAAATACATTAAAATTTAAAGAGGAAATCATAGTCCAATTACCATGTTTGTTAATGGCTTCAGGTGCCTCAGGACACATATCTCACAGGTTAAAGCAATGTGCCTAGGAAGGTTCTATTTACCTGACAGCTATCTGCCAAACAGCCATGTGGGTCTGGGGTGCCAAGAGCTCACAGCTGCCTCTGTCCAGGGCAAGCTAATGCCACCTGCTCTTGGTGCCACCTGGACAGCCTGTAATGTGGGGAATTGCTAGGTGGTTCTTCCTGCAGGTAGCTGTAACTAATAAGACCTGGGCTTTTCCCAGAGAAGACTGGGTCACCTGTGGGTCCCTGCTCTGCCCCTTGGGGTCTTAGCCAGAGCTGGGGGCTGAATGCTGATGGAAGTGGTGACGTGCTGGCAGGGTGGATGTCCTGGAGGCCATGCACAGCAGGCTTCCTGGGATATAGGACTTGAGTGGCCTTGTAGGTGCTGCTCAGGGACAGGTAAGCAGAACAAAGTCGCCTGAGATTCCCGATGTGCTCCCTGGAAACAGAGACAGGGGAGCCTACATTCCAAAGCTTCAGGTGGCTGTTCCTTACTAGGGTCTTCTTGGTACTTGCTGTCCCCACAGACCTTGAAAGGACCATGTGGAGCCTCCTGGTGGGGGCCATTCTCCCCCAGAAGACCCCTGCTGTGTGAGGTTCTGCCATGTTCTGGGCATTGAACACAACTTGGGCAAGGTGCTTGATTTCTTAGAGCCTCAGTTTCCTCATCTACAAGTATCTGTAACATGGGATAGGAGTAGTCCCTACTTACAGCAGAGGATGGCTGAAAAGTTTAAGGAGGAGATGATGGTAACGAAGACGGTGATGGGACAGCAACAATACTGACCACTATCATCTACTGAGAACACACCCTGTCCAGGCACTATGCTGAGAACTCTACACCTCAGCCTGTTTAACCCTCCTGATGACCCTGTGGGGCTCACAGATGAGAACTGGAGGCACGGTGAAGTGAGGTTGTCGCCCAAGATCCAGTAGCTTGTAAATGCTGGAGCCAGCACTTGACCTCAGCCAGCTGGACTCTAAAGTCTACATTCTTGGCCCCTATCCTACATAACAAGGAACTCTTCTGTGTTTATTAATCATAGGTAAAGGGACCAGCTTAGTGCCAAGCAGTAGCTCAATACATGTTAGAGCACTCCCCACCCTTGGGAAGGCCCCTGTGCCATGTTTAAGATTTCTTTAAGTTGGCATCAAAGCTGGAGACTCACTCTTATTATCCCCTGTTTGGACACCGTAGTCTCCGGGGAAGAGCTGCACCTGCCCCCCACCCTGCTTGGCAAGCCTGACCTCCTCTCCTTGCAGATCTTTGCACCTGCCTGGTGTGGCTCCAGGGCCCCAAAACTTAGAAACAACCAGCCAGGCAGGAGTGGGAATTCAGGCCCCTCCCACCCATCCCAGCCTTTCTGACATAAGGACCCAACAGGCTCCTCCTTGCAACTGGCAGTGGCTGTGGCCCCAGGGAGTCAGGTCCTCTTTCCTTGCTTTTTATGCTGCAGACACCAACTACCCTTGCACTATCCTGTAGCTGGACAAAAGGACACATGTGCTGTGTTCACACCCATAGCCTTTGGGGAGGGAGGCAAAAGACAGGGTCATAAGCAAGCGTTTTCCCAAATAAGAGCAGGGCTTGTGGGGGTGAACACAAGGTTTCCTGCAAGCAAGCAGGCTGGGGTTTGAGTTGCTGATATTTGGACACCAAAGAATGGTGATATCACAGTGTAGAGGACTTGGGGATGCCCAGACTAGAGCCCCAAAGGGGTTTTGTGGAAAGCAAGCACTGCTTTCCCTTAGCCTTTCTGCCGAGGAAAGTAAAGGACTCAAGGAAGAAAAGATTGATTTTCTAATTAAGACATTCGAGACCAGCCCCTCTAAGTGAGTGTTTTGTCAGCTGAGAGTGTGTCAAAGCTTGTTTGTAAATAGTGGCTGAAGGTGGCTGGTGGGAGAAGAAACTGACATAATTTTTTTTGTAAGGTGTTCTCAGGGGTGTTGAACACAAGCTCTCTGACTCCCAGGAGGGTTGGGAGAAGGGTTTCTCTTAAAGGAGAGGGGTCTCCACGGCCTCCTGTGACAGAGACAGTTACAAACAACTGTCCTCAAAGGGGCCGCCCATGTTCTCGTCAATGCACATGCTGAATGGAAAACTGGATTCTCCATAACTCAGTCTTCCCTGGATGCCATACCCACCTGAGCCAGTTCAGAGCTGCCGAGGTAGCCGTTGCCATCTGTATCCAAGTCCTTAAACAGAGACTCCACCAAGAGGCGCTTCTGGGAGGCAGGGTCTTCTCTGCTGTCCCCTTCTCGGAGTGGCTTCAGGCGGGTCTGGAGAGCCAGAAGGACATTCTTCAGGCGGGCATAGCCGGCCATGGTACACGTGTCACCTGAAAGAGAAGCTAAGGTTTATTACAGTGAGATTTACCCCTTGGTCTTGAGAGAACGTTTCCTCCGTTGGTCCGTTCATCCATCTCACTCACAAATAGTCACTGGGCATTTACGATGTGCAGCCATGGTGCAACTGTATTAGATGAGACCTGTTTGTCTGCCACCAACCCAGCCCACAAGTATTTACTGAGCACCGAACGCATGCTACACATGATGCAAATGCTGGAGAGAGCCTGTGTATTCATTCCACAAATATTTATTGAGCACCTACTACAAGCCAGTCACGCAGTGAGCACCAGAGCGAATGGGGCAGTTCTCCCAGTGGAATTTACAGCGGCAGTCCCACAGCAGCTTTAGGAAAGCCAGCCCCAGTTTCATTTTGTAATAGCTTGGTTTTGCCTTAATCCTACCTTAAAGGCTGCTTTTGAATATTTGGCCTCATAGATTAGGGAGTTTTAGTTAACAGGACTAATAAATGCTGTTTAAGTTAATTACGTACATTCCCAGAGCTGGATTACTTCAAAACAAACATGTGTACACAAGTCTATGACCAAGAAACAAAAGGAAGCTTTAGGAAATTAAACCCGCAGCCCATTATTCTCAGGGCTTTATCACAGGCGTGCTTGCTGAGCAGCATCAGAGCTGCAGTGTTTTGGCAAATGAGGCCTGTGATGTACTGCGACATGACACAGTTTATCTTGCTAGTGACAGGCCACTAGGACGAACACCACACAAGGCACAGCCTGTCAGCTGGGGCCGCAGGGATTACAACAGAGCAGCGCAGCCCCTCCAGCCCACCTCCCCACCTTCCTAGGGGATGAAGTACCTCCTGTACCTGGCTTTGCTGAGTCCTGGACAATGGGTGTGGGCTCCTCACCATCCATTCCATGTTGAAGGCCAGTGGGCTGTTTGGAATGGACCGTCTGGGGCCGGGGGTTTTTCCTTTAATCCCAAGGTCACTTTAGGGCACAGGGTAATAGAGTCAATAGCAAACAGTGTTGGAGAGCATGGCTGTGGGATCCACTTGGTTTGAGTTCCAGATCTGCTGTTATTAGACTGTGTAACCGTGGACAAGGTGCCTCAGTGATTTCATCTGTGAAGTGAGGATAATGGTGGCCTCTATAATGGGTTGTTATGAGGATTAAATAAGATATGCATATAAAGGGCTTTGCACTGGCTTGGTGGTGAGTAAGGGCTCATAAAATGACAGCTAGTCTGCCCTATCATTGCTGGAGCCATGCTCGCTGAAGAGCAGCACACAGGGAAGCTACCCAGCAGGGAAAGGGCTGACAGGGAGGCCTGTCTGCTTCTCTCTCCCTCCCTTGCTAATAAGCCTGGAGAGCCCAACCACTTTCCTTGTGTTTGTTTGTGTTTCTAGATTTTCTTCCAATTTAGGGTCAATTGATTCTCGTCAGAAACAGATGCCCATTACCATTTTCTTCTGCATGTTTATTTAGAAAAAAAATCAATTGTTGTTTTCAATACAATCAAACCTATTTGCTCTCTGGAGTCTTCATGCTCTGACAAGAATGGCTCCCTTGCATCCCCCTAACCTTGCTAGCACCCCTCTTGTGCCTGGTAGGATATCAACTCTTGGGAGTTCTTGAGCCACCAATTGGCAAAATTAGTTCTCAAGTCTGCATAGCTGCTCAGCGTTGCAAAAAGTGGCCTTGCCCCTCCTGTCCAGGGGAAGATGCGATTGCCCGCTGGGGGTTTCTTCTTTCTGGATAAAGAACAGTTTTGGGGAAGGAGAGGAATAGTTATGCCCAAGTCTAGCCCCTCATCTCCCCACAGAGGGTGAAATCTAGCCCTGGCACATGGACCGGAAGTGGGGATGCAGAATAGGCATGGAGCTGGAGCCGTTGGGGTTAATGGTGATAGAGGCATCCATGCGGGGGGTCTGCATAGTCTGGCACTCAAGGTACCCCTCAGGCCTCCTGGGGTGGGTATTTATATCCAGGTGCTGGGAAGCCGGTGTACACAGTGGATGGACATGGTATCAACAGGAGGCTCTGCTCAGAAATGCCGATGGGCAATCAGGCTTCTAAGAATATGTCGTAGCAGGGCCACCTGAAGGTTAGCCAGGCTAGGTCAGATGGGAGGAGACATCTTAGCTTTGTTGGTCTCCCTGACCTTGGTGGGGCACAGACCTCTTCTGAGCTGCCTGCTGCCCTGGGTCAGAGGTTGACAGCTTTACCTCTAACACTGGCATGCCAGGGAAACCACTGAGGCAGGTCCTGCTGGGGTGGAGGTGGGGGGACGCTGTGGCATCTTCCCCAGGCTCTATCCCTCCTATCACACCCTACAGTTCACTGTGAGCTCACAGGCTCTGGCTTCTCCACCCTGGCAGCTGCCCAGAGACACCTCCTGGTCAGGAAGGAGAGCACATGTCTAGAAGCCAACCTGGGGAAAGGGATGAGTGCCCCAAGTCTCCAGGCAAGCTTCTGAGCCCCTGGTCCAGGCCCTGCTTTGGCCAGGCCCCTCCCTTCCTTTTGCCAGCACTTATTTACAAACAATGTGCCAGATGCTGGGCAGCATGCTGGGGATGCATGGCGCTTCCAGTCTGGGCATGATGGGTGTCCATGAGGAAGAGCTAATGAGGCCAGGGATGCAGGAAGCCCCCCTAAGGGAGGGACATTCTGGAAGAGATCTGTAGGATGTAGGGCAGTTGTGTGAGAAGGAGTCAGAGGGAAAGCATGCCAGGCAGCAGGAAGGGCGGGCTCAGGAGCAAGCAGGGAGCATGTCTGCAGATCTGAGAAGATGCTGTGGCGGGACTGGAGTGAGTGAGTGGGGGGAGTGGAGAGCATGACAAGGCAGGAGAGGGTGGTGGGCAGCTCAGGCAGGGCTCCAAAGCCATGGGGGGAGCTGTGGTGGGATGCCAGGTGCTGCAGATGACACTGTTCAGGACTTCCCTCATCCTTTTTTTCTTTATTGAGACCCTCACATGCCTGGTCTGTGCTGGCCACTGGTCCTGAGATGAACCAAGAGGCTCCCAGAAGAGCATCTTGATCCTTCTTTACCCAGGAGCATCTGTGCTTTAAGTGAGTTGCAAGAGAGGACTTTGCCTAAACTCATATCATTAAGTCATTCGTGCAATGTTACTGAACTCCTTTACTGCCCTTTTTGTAATGGGGGAGAGTTGTAGACAAGAGAGGAAAGATGGACTGACTGACTGCAAACCAGACATGGAGTGAATGCCCGATGGAATAGTGGGGTTTCTGCACCCTAGAGATGATCACTTTAGATCCCAACGTCCTAACTCTCCCAGTGGGAAGCCCTCTGATTCTTCATCTCCAGCAAGGACTATCCTCTTGGTGGCTCCCTGCCCTCACTCCCTGCCTTTATTATGTGAATTCCACAGGAGTGGGGTTGGGGGAGAAAACCTTCTTTCCCTGCCCTCTTCTAGCCCCAGAGGCAGATGCCCCAAGAGCTGTAGCTTCCAGCTCAGTCTCCAAGGCGAACTTTCCTCCCCCAAGGCAGGCCTTGGCTTGCAGGATGGGTATCTTCTTAGTCAGGTGGATAAAAGTGATAGTTAACCACGTCTTGGTGTTATTTTTTCTTTCATGATCTCGTGGTTTCACTGTGAGGTCAGATAGGACTGGCTCACTGTGGGGAGCACTGGGCATCTGTGCATCTGTCAGACCTGGTCTCCAGCTAAAGGCTCCCTGCCTTCTGCCTGGCATGGAATGCTTCCTGCTGGAGGCCTGCTCCCATCTTAGTTTGGATGGGAAGTAATAGGGAGTGAGGCTGGGAAGGTGAAAGAGCCAATAAAGAGTGCATTAACGAGGGGGTTGCCACTGTGGGCGACTGGGGCTCAGTCCTGCTGGGGACCTTGGAGAGACTGTGCAGAACACACCTCAAAATTGTTCCACTGAGGGCCGGCCCGGTGGTGCACTGCTACAGTGCGCCACTTGGGAGCACGGCGGCGCTCCCGCCGAGGGTTCGGATCCCACATACAGACAGGCGGCTCACTGGCTGAGCGAGGTGCAGGCGCGACACTGAGGGTTGCAATCCCGTTGCCGGTCCCGGTCCGGTACGGGCGCGACACTGAGGGTTGCGATCCGTTGCCGGTCACGAAAAGAGACAAAAAGGAAAAAAAAAAAATTGTTCCACTGAGAACAGAGGGAGCTGGAGCATTTAACCACCCCAGCTAGCACCTCTGAACCTCCCAAATGAGGACAAAGCACACTCCTGAGGTCAGAAAATGCCCTGGGGCTGAAGATGCAGGTGCCCAAGATCAGATGCTATTAGCAGGTGTTACGCAGAATGGTCCACCGAAGCTGCACATGCCCTCTGGGGTTGACTGAGGGAATCTGCATGGGGCGTGGCCATCATCTGCTACATCCCCTCATGGGACTGCAAGTTCTGAGCAGGCAGGGCCTGGACTGGACAGTTACCCATGAAGCACTGCAATGTTAAATGCTTGATGAATGAGTTAATGAGTGAATATGGTTGAGAACCAGAGTTCTATGGCTCCAGGGCAGACTGTCTCATAAAGCAGCCAGGGTGATGGGACCACCCCTTAATTACCTTGTCTGGGGTCTTCAGGCAGAGACAGACTTCATCATAGGCTGCTGTGTCCACCTGACATCAACCCCTCTAATGAAAATCATCACAAGGCTGGACAGAGCACTGGACAGGAAGTCAGGAGACCATCTAACCTGGACTGGCTGTGAGACCCTTGAAAAGTCATTCATTCCCCTGCCCTTCCAGCATCCATTTTCTACCTTAAAATGGGGTAATAATGGCCCCTTACCACCTTACAGGGTCATGACATAAAAGGGAAGGTGAGAGGACTTTGCAAGTCAAAGTGTCAGCCAGGCCTGAGGTCTTCTCTTGATGAAATGCGCTGGACACCCCAAGCGAGTGGGGTGTGGCTCATCCGTCTTGGTCCCCTTCACCATGGGGCCTGAGACAGGGTGGCAACTAAATCGGTGTTTGTGGATAAGCAGAAGAGGAAGGTGTCCTAGATTTCCTCTGTTCCTTCCCACTACCATGGACATTCCCACTCTGGGTCCTTTCAGGGAGGGAGGCTATGTGTCCCAGTCAGCCTGACACTGACATCATCCTTGTCAGGCCCTTAGAAGTGCCCAGCCACCTTCCTGCTGGCCTGGGTGCTCTCCATG